TTTATTAGGTACAGTTTTTAAATTTATATCTACTATATTGTGTACCTATTAGGTACACAAAAATTACTAGATACATATAGGTACTTTAAAAATATACTGTACCGTACCAAAAAGGTATATACTCGCCATTTTGGGTTAGAGTTAGAAGTGTTTATATTGGCAAAATTACTTCCTGAAATTTTTGTTGATGCACCAAGATGGGTTTGGACTAACATTTTTATGATTTTCACTTTTTTTTGTCGGGCTGATCTGGGCTTATCAAATTTTGACAATCCAATTGGCTGATTATTACGTGTTCTGTCCGCTTTAAAGTACCCTAGCCATGGCGAAAGTGTTCGGGTCATGTGACGATCTGCGGGTAAATTATCCAATAATGAGTTCCGATTTTGTGTAATGTAACACGATTCGCTTTTTCAAAAATTGCTTATTTCTCGAAAATTTCATAAGAAACCGCCTTCTGCGCTCTAACAAAAAAATTTCCTTGAGAGATCACATACATATATCCTGCTGAAATATAACCCTAATATAAACCTTAATCCGATTATAAGGCCATTTGAAGTTGATTCTTCGGTTAACGTAACCCCCCCTCCTGGCCATCCCCCAAAAACGAACAAGCCAATCACAGTATTGTAATATTGTTGTCCAATTTGTAATATTGTTGTCCATTCATATTCATCCAGTAATCGTCTTGTGATTGGCCTGCTTAATTTTTTTGTTTAATTTGTTACCCCCGTCCGAGCCCAAAAGTTGACGTTAAACGAAGAATCAACTTCAAATGGCCTAAATAAACTTTAAAGAATTTTTCGTTTTCGCCATGGCTAGGGTACTACCCGCTTTAAGGGACCCTCTAATTTGTGTCAGTCTCCCTTGGATTTTGATTGGTCAGATGCAATAGAAAATCTCGTGATGGCACCTAGCTTTAATTCATAGGAGAACTTACGTCTGGCTGATGTAAATCAACTGCCCGGGTAACTTATTTATACAGTTTAAAGAGAACGTAACATCTCATAACAAAAACCACCATAAAAGCCATTTCTAACTTCGAAAGAACGTATATATACTGTGCAAATAATCAGCATTCTCAAGAACTTTACTTAGAAATGAAAGTTTTCGTCATTTATTACTATCTATATTAGCCATTTACAAGTAGAGATGGGCACGTGTGGGATCATGCGCATGACGCACAGGATTTTTTTAGATCTCTGTGCGGGATTTTTAATATGATCCAAAATAAAATTATCTGACTGACATTACAATATCATCTGGCAGCATTAACATAATTAGTAATTGAGTCACCCAAAAAAGTTTCGAAAATCATGTGTGTGATATTGTTAATTCATCATTATTACTAGGATCATGATACGTAATAATATTTATAATATATTAATTGATTTAGTAAGTGATTTATTTTCTTCGATTCTTCAAAATGAAAAGTGATCATTGTAATCTTGACAAACTAAGTGATGCTTTTAAAGGCATAAAATTTAATAAACACAATATTTTAAAAATATCTATCAAATGTCGTAACCCAATTTCCACTAATAATAAATGAAAAAAAAGAATGAAAATCGAAGTAAATTATAAAAACTAATCAAGAAAATGTAATTGCACCAGAAAACCTTGTAGACTTTATTTTTAATGCTCTTCCGGAAGACTATAACACTGATTATTTATTTGAGCAAAAAGTTTGAATCCAGAAAATTATTGAAGAAAAATATAATGAATCAAATAGTAACAGATTGCTCGAAAGTATTAATAAAAACTTTGAGCCATTGCATAAATTGAGGATTATAATAATTTTAAAAGACATCGAAATATAGAAAACCCGTAATCATAAACTTTCTTGCTGTAATCTGTCTATATAATTTAATTTTGGGTCTGTGCGTTTTAACTTTTTTGATTGGCCATATCCAAAAACAGTGATCAGAGTGTGGTCATTCAACGTAATAAGTTCGTCATCGTACTGTATTATTCGTAATCGACCTACCAGTATTGATTAATAATCAATACATGAAAATTGAGACATAACGAATCAAGGATACAGAGTTATTCTTATTCACAGCTTCCTGCAAGATAATATCATAACTCGGTTGTAGTTTTGTATCTCTGTTCTACGTCGATCACAGTTACCAGTTGACACACGTGATTTTTCAATCTCCACCGATTGAAAAATTGCTTACGTCGGCTCTTAATGCAATTATTAATCAATTAATAGTTTTTATTATAATTAATATATATATAAACCGATAGAGCCATTTCTCATCTCTAATTATTAGACTCATTACAGTGATTAAAGAATTGATAACGTATTAACAAATTAATATAAAAAAAAAAAATAAACTTTAATACTTTTACTTGTTTCCAATTTTTCAATAATGACCATGGAACTGCACGATATAATTTCCTGGATCGCGTAACTTTTGACCGAATCGCGGGAACTTACATTGACCAAATAATAGACATAATGAGTAACTCGTCCAACATTTGAAAATCATAAAACGGTCCACAATTCATCCATCTTAAATATTCAACGAAATCGTAACCTTATTCGAAATAGGATGCAATAAAAATATAGAAAAATGCGACCGAACCTTTAAGCCCGGTGAATTAGTAAAATTCATATTCCAAGCATTGACAGACAAAAATGGACCGTCGATCTTTATCTTGCAAAAGCCCAATCGTGACTCATATATCAAGTTGCTTGCCAATTTGGGTAGTAGAAAATTGGTATTCAGCAAATGATTTCGAACCACTAGTAACTTCAAATTATCTTGGTTCCCTTAGATAGCATAATTTCATTGAGACAAGACGGATTTAAACAAATGTTTTCTCGATCTTTAAAATATTGAAGAACTGATTAGTGAAAAACAGAAAAGTTAATTTAAATGTCAAAAGGTAAAAAAAAAAAATTATAAATATGTGTAAATTAATATAAGCAATTTATTAAGTAATAATTAATTATATACTTTTACATAGAAAAATCAAACTATTTGAAGAATTCCTGAATAACACAATGAAACGACCATTTTTTTCAACCGAAAAAAAGCCGTTCCAATGAAAATAACAAAAAAATCAACCTAATTGTTGTCATTGTCAAAGACAAATTGCAGCTCTAAATCGTGTTCTTGTCAAAGAAATAATTTATTGTGTACAAGATGATGTGGTTGCATTTTATGTAAATAATGTAAAAATATATTTTTTTTTATTTTTTCTTCAAATTTATGTAGCAGAGCATTTATGATAAGGTTATAAGCATTTATGATTATGTTTGTACACCACATAAGGGTTTTTTATAAAAAAAATATTTATCTGAGCAATAAATTTTCACTGATTATGAAATAGCGTACATTACTTTTAAATTTGTAAATGATATATGTTACTTTTGAAGTGACAGAAATTGAAAAATGATGAAGAACATCTCTATATTGATTGATATCGTTATCTTTAATTGTAATTCTGGAGTTGTACACTTTAACGATTTTGATTGGGTATAGTCGAAAATGTGACCTGAATGTGGAAAAAATTTTGTATGACGATTATTATTCTTATGTCATATATTTGTAATGACTAATTACAGATAAGTCATGATATTATTGGTGATTTAACCAACTGGTTACTTTTCATTTATTTATTGTTATTAATATAACAATGATTTATTAATTGAAGTCTTTTCAGCCAAGGTGTTTAACCGGCTAATATAACTATTACTATCATTTATTAATAATACTCATTTCCTTTTGTCTATGTATTTCATTAGTTCTTATTTTTTATTTAATTCAAACCAGTGACTATATTGATTATTTACTAATCAATGTATTTGAAATCAAATTTATCACATATTTATGCTGATTTAATTGATGGTATTGAAGGGTTTCAGAATTAAAAAAAATAGTGTATTTTGAAATAAGTAAAAGCTTAAAAAATCTTATTTGTATATCAAAACTTTGAAATTGGAAAATGAAATGGGAGTGTTTAGAGACTCACATTTAATGAAATAAATAAACTTTTCAATGACAAAAATCATTATTACAAATTTGTTAGAAAATGAAATAAAATCAATACATTGCTCATTTGAAAATAAATACGTTATCTATTTCTATCAAAATTAGTTTTCCACATGTTAATTTTGAAACACCTCATTTATTGTGGTTTGCAAAATTTTGTAAATTTTGCATATCAAAAAAAAAAAATTTAACAATTGGTAATTTTGATTACTAATTTTTTTTATATATTTTTTAAACTTTAGATAAACTTTATTATTGAGCAGTTTCAAATTAACTTGCAGAAATTTAATTTGACAGAAATAGATAATGTATTTATTAGGGTGCAAGACAGGTTAGATCAGTCAGGTTTATTTAAAGCTGACCCAGACCTGATTAAAGCCCGACCCGAACCTGACCCATTATAAAAAATTTTTATCGGGTTCGGGTCAAGTTCGGTTCAGGTTTAAATGAACCCGACTCAATCCGATTATACCAGGAACAAAGTGATATTGAAAATTTCATAAAGTGTATGATTATATTGCAAATAAAATAGTATACATCTGTAAAATCTTGCCACTTATTGGAGAAATGCATATAGCGAAATAAATAGACTACAAAACCTGCATTTCTTCTCAAAATAATATAAAATTTTATATAAGACATCCCTAGATATACTGGGCTTACATATATATTTATTATAGACCTACTTGAATACAACTTTAAAAAAGATTATTTGTATATAATGTTCATGCTAAACTTGTAAACCTTAGCTTTAATGCTAATACTAAATTTTTTATTTAGAAAAGATAATTACAGTAGTGGCAGAAAATTAAGACACTCATGTGATGTGGTACAGCACATTAAAATTTTATTAAAATTTGATAAAATTTTAACTACAGCTAGTTTAAAACATACATTCAACTATCTAGTAATTAATTGTGCACCCACTCTGTTCTATAACTAAATCTAGGCGTCTACATATAGAGGTTGCTAAATTAAACATAATAGTTTGTCAACTCAATACCATTTCTCTTTGATAATTGATACAAAATGATCATTTGACATCGTTTCTTTTGCTTGAACCAAGAAATTCACCTTTTTCTCAACCCTATTCATCATAATTGCCCAGAGATTTTCAATTGGGTTGAGGTCAGGAGACCTGGAAGGCCAATTGAGAACTTTTGGACACTGAGCTTGTAAAAGAGCCTTCGTTGCTTTAGCAGTATGCTTAGGATCGTTATTTTGTTGAAACGTCCAATTGTTATCCAGAACCTCAGATGCTTGGTTAAACAAATGGTTTGTCAAAATCTCACGATATCATTCACCATTCATAATACCAGTAAATGCATGAAAACAACAATTCCCTCTTGACAAAATGCTCCCCAAACATGAATCTTAAACAGATGTTTCACAACCACTCATGTTGGTACTGGTTCACCACACTTGTACCAAACTTTGATTATATTTCAGAACAGTTGAAAAGTTGCTTTATCAGAAAAAATAGTAGTATTCTACCTTCTTCTTTGATACTTACGTGCTCAGCAGACCCGATGGATCATAGCCTCTTTTTTGAGAAGGGGAACAGCACGGGAACAGTAACTTGGTAACCAAGGTTCTGAAGATTTTCTCAAACCATTCTTGGTGCAATATTTAGTCCAGATTAAGTGTTGTTAAGGACTTCTGTTAGTTCCTTACTTGTCGCAGTTCTGTCTTTCTTCATGATTTTGTCAAGATATCTTCTTTATTCAGGATCAAGAAGTTGTGGACACTCTGTATGTTCACCTAGCTTGATATCACCTGTTTCAGTAAGTTGAGCAGTCCATCTATACAAAGTTTTTTTGGGTATCCAGTGATCTTTTGCAACTTAGAGACTTTGTTATAACCATGTCCCCACAAGAACTTAACCAAGGTACGTCTTTCTTCAAGCGAAGTCATTTGCGAGAAAAAAAAGATTTGTACCACTACAGATTACTAAATTTATAGCTGTAAATTGTGTAACAACTTTATTTTATATCAGTGTAATAGGATTTGAGATTTTATCACATGATTTCTAAAAAAAAAAAAAAGTGTCATAATTTTCCACCACTACTGTATATATTGCACAGTATTTTAATTTGTTAATTTATTCATTATTGATTTGTTAGTGCATGAAAAAAAAAAGATCCAGAAATAAGTTTTCACTCTACGAATGATCATCCACTGTGTGATAATATTTAGATCATCTTGGTATTTACAGTATTTGTTTAAATGAAAGAATAATTTAGCATTAGTCATTATTTTTAAATATGAAAAAAATTTGTTGCATATTATTTTATCAGATCTTTTTTGACCATTGAGTATTAGGCATTTTATATATTATTGATAGCCTAGTGCAATCTTCACATAAACGCAAATATATCAAAATTTGGCAACAGATTTAATATGAACATTTAAAGTTGGCAACAATATGAAAGCATTATTTAACCATATTAATGATGCTGAGATTGATGATGCTAAAATTTGTAGATTCAACCAATTAGATTTCATAAAGGGAACCATTCTGAATTAGACTTGAGTAATTTTAGCTTTATATTTTGATTAAATAATAATTATTATTAGTATTATTTTGAATCAAATATCATTATTTTGTTTATGATAAAGTAAATTATTTTTGTAAAAAAAATTGAAATTTTGAAAAATTTGTACTGAAGGGTAATGCATAACGAAAAATTAACTTGGTGTGATATTGAAGATCATTAAAATAATTTATTTAACTCATAGCTATTTATTGTAGAAGTGAAAACAACAATTATAAGACAGAAAATTTTGTTTATTAGAGTTAATGTCAGCTGCAGCTTAAACCATAATTTGAAGCGCAGATTTTAACTATGGCTCAGCTGCAGCTAGAGGTAAGAATTTTTTAAAAATCAAATTGAGTTTGATCAGATTTTACAGATCAATAAGCAGAACCTGAATCTGACCCAATACTTTAATAGGTCTAACTTAAATCTAACCCAATTTAATAAAGAATCTATAATTTGAACCTGAACTGGAACCAACTGTGACCCAATCCGTGAAATTTCAGATCAAACTTGACCCATCCCATATCCTAGTGTTATGCTTTTTCTTTAAAAAATTGTGACTTGTAGTAATGAGAACGTGTATACTGTAAATCTGGGCTGTGGCAAAGGCTTAGAGGTTCAAATCTGTACAAATAATTATTTTTCGTTATCTTTGTTTATTCTTATATCTATAGATTCTTTTTATTTGTTTGTTATCATGAGACCCAGAGTTTAGGTCTAGAAAAGCTTAGAAATATAATGATAAAATCAGCTTAGAAGGTATAGGTTTGGTTGAGCTAAAGTTGGGTGAAATTATAACGTTAGAACAACAAAGTATAGAGCCAGACTTTAGAAGTGTATTTTGTAATAAGCCTTCAATGTATTTTTAAAAGTATAAAAAAGCTGTCTTTTGCTCTTTAAATAAAGCTTTAGATTTCATTGTCTTTAATATAGGAGTATTAAGAATTGATTTCTTGAATTGATGTTATATCCCTTAGATTGTAGTAGAACGCAGGCAAATTTGCCTGCGTTTTTGCACTTTTTTAGCTCTGATTTATTTTTT